CACACATCTTTTTAGCCACATCTATATCATTTAATTTTTGGCACATTAATCATCAATGCTTTATACTGTGGTTTTCTACCAAAAGTGCCTTCTCGAAATCCCCAGAGACCATTTCTCATTCCTTTTCATCCTTTTTAAAAAACATTTATTTTTTAGTTGTAATTGGACACAATACCTTTATTTATTTATTTTTATGTGGTGCTGAGGATCAAACTCAGTGCCTCACACATGCTAGCAAGTGCTCTACCACTGAGCCACAACCCCAGCCCCATCTTTTTTTTTTTTAATATTTTTAGTTGTTGATGGACATAATACCTTTATTTATTTTTATGTGGTGCTAGAATCCAACCCAGTGTCTCAAACATACTAGGCAAGCACTCTACCTCTGAGCAACCCCTTCCTTCTACATCACTTAATACAAAAGAACACAAACCATATCTAAAACTTTTCTCTAGGAGGTTTTTCTTGACTGCCTTATAGATAGTAATTATATTTTAAGGAAATAAAGGAACATATAACCTAACACTCAAAGTTTCTATTTGTGTCTTTTAACTTTTCTCCATTGGGAAAACAAAAAACAAAACTTAAAACAGTTTGTAAGGGGGCTGGGGCTGTAGCTCAGTGGTAGAGTGCTTGCCTAGCACGTGTGAGGCACTGGCTTCGATCCTCAGCACAACATATAAATAAATAAATAAAGGTATTGTGTTCATGTATGATTAAATAAAATATTTTTAAAAGGACAAAAAAAAAATCACTTGTAGGGCTGGGGCTGGGGCTCAGTAGTAGAGTGCTCACCTAGCACGAGTGAGGCCCTGGGTTCGATCCTTAGCACCACATAAAATAAATAAATAAAATAAAGATGATATTGTGTCCAACTAAAAAAATAAATATTAAAAAAAAAAACTTGTAGATTTACAGAAAAAATCCAATGTAGAAGGAGTAAGGGAAACTGAAAAGGTAACAGAAAGGATAATTCATTCAGTAATGAAGAATTCAGTATGTTTTCTAATGCCTACCATGTGTTAGGCATTTATTCCACAGTGTCAAGTGTCCTGTACTAAGTTGATCATTTCTTGAGGATAGGTGTCAAGTCTTTTTTTTAATTTTGGTACTGGGGATTGAACCCTGGGATGCTTTGCTACTAAGCTATATCCCCAGCCATTTTTAGTTTTTATTTGAAGCAGGGTCTTGATAAGTTGCTAATGCTGGCCTTGAGCATGTGATCCTCCTGCCTCAGCCTCCCGAGTCACTAGGATTACAGGCATATACCACCATACCTGGCTGTGTCATAGTCTTCTTAATGTATTCCCACAATCTGGCACTGTGACTACTTAATAAATACATGCTGAATAAAGAAATGAATAATGCCTACACATCAATATCGAAAAGAGTTCTAAGAATACTACAGAATGGGAATGTTTATTTAAAAATAAGGATTACAGGTGACATTCTAAGGGAAAAGGGCAAGCTTTTGCAGTTTGAGGGGCTGTGGACAATTAGAATGCAACATAAAGATATTACTGAATTAATTAATGTATTTACTCCTCCATTAATTAATCTGACATTTACTACTGCCAAGGCAACTAAAAAGATAATTAAGATATAGTATGTCTTTATGGATTTATCTTGTAATTAAGAGCTCAGAGTTAAAGGGTGGTAAGCACTGGGGGGGAAATATGAATAAGACATTGTGTCACTAAATAGTGATTCAGACTCTAATGTTATAACATCAGGAAAAGTTTGGAAAACCACAAATCAACTTTTTCTGGTCCACTCTCCTTCGAAATTAGGTCCACAAACCACAGTTTTCAAACTTTTGCATATATAAGGATCACCTGGGAATCTCATTAAAGATGCAAGGAAACTTTCCTTGATATCTTGATTCTGTGGATCTAGGATTTTACAGTTACTAAGTACAACAGGTGAATATGATGCTTTTAGTTTAGGGAGCATATTATGATAAAGTCCTCAATCATTAATGTTGTCATAATTGGGTCAAATCTGAGTTCCACCTAAAATATTACTCTTTAAATAATTAATTTAAATTGAAATATGTATATGCATAAGCAAGGAGTTTCAAGGGTTTTTTTGTTTGTTTGTTTTTGGTAATACACATGAAATAAAGAACCATTTAAAAAGATCTGTCTGGGCTGGGGATGTGGCTCAAGCGGTAGCACGCTTGGCTGGCATGCTCGAGGCGCTGGGTTCGATCCTCAGCACCACATAAAAATAAAATAAAGATGTTGTGTCCACTGAAAACTAAAAAATAAATATTAAAAAAAATTCTCTCTCTCTCTCTCTTAAAAAAAAAAAAGATCTGTCTATATACATCAGTGGGTGAGAAGAAGTTTGAGAAGTACTGCTCAAGAGTTTATAATCTAACACAACTTGCATATGCAGTTAATGATGCAAATAACAAAAAGTTCCAGGGCAGTGAAGTTCAACAGAACTATGTTTCAGAATATTCTGGTACATTTTGTGGATTATGAAATAACCTACAAAATATCTCTTAAACTGTTGATTATTAGAAAATGACTTATAAAAACCCTCTTCATGAAACAAAAATTGACTTAAAAAAAAGTGTTTTGTCTTTTATTCTGGTACTTAACTCTCAGAATATTCTTGATCTGACATCTGAGTCAAATCCCAATAGGTAAGGTATGAGACTTAAAAGCAGCAGTTGGTACAAAATGATGATATATCTGTGCTCTTGACCCACAATAAAATACTCATCCATTTTATTTAGAATTAAATTTGATTTAAGACTGATAATTGAATTCAAAGGTATAAACTTCATAGCTCTTTTCCTTAAACTTCAAAGCAATTTATAATAATAGGCAAAATAATACAGCAAAAATCTCAGGAGAAATATTGTAGCTCAGAAATGCCTACTTTTTAAGAGCTTTGGCAACTTATTTATTTATTTATTTTGGTACTGGGGATTGAACTCAGGGCGCTTAACCACCAAGATCCATTCCAGCTGTTTATTTTGAGACAGAGTTCACTAAGTTGCTGAGGCTGGCTTTGAACTTGTGATCCTACTGCCTCGGCCTCCTGTTCTGCTGGAATTATAGGCTTGCAACACTGCATCTGGCTTTGGCAACTCTTAACTACAAACAGAAGGATGAAATATTTCACCAAATGAAAGGCTGTGATATTAAGCCTTTAAAAACAATACTCTAAATTATGGGGTTTTTTTAATATTTATTTTTTAGTTTTCGATGGACACAACATCTTTATTTTATTTTTATTTGGTGCTGAGGATCGAACCCAGCGCCCCAAGCATGCCAGGTGAGCATGCTATGGCTTGAGCCATATCCCCAGCCCCTTGTTTTTGTTTTTTTTTAATGGCTGAGAAAATCAGTTCTACCTCAAGACCCATGACTGGATGTCTTGGAGATCACATTGTCAGTGAGTCCACACCAGTTCTATGTATGTTTAATCTGCAGTTGCATTCTATAAAAAGATCAATGAATGACTGTAGTTCTTGATCTCTGTATTACCTAAGTCAAATTAAATTTACCTTATTACTTACTGATTTATAAAGCAATTTACCCTTTTTTTGGATGAAAGGATTATTTCAATAGCCTCCTAACTAATCTCCCCGATTTAGCACTTGTTCTCTACAGTCTATTTTCTGTAAAACCACTAGAGAAGCCCCATTAAAAATGTCAGATTGCTCTTCTGCACAAAACTGTCCAGTCCCTATCAGAGTAAAAGCCTGTTTTAAATGGTTCACAAGGCCTTCCAATACACAATAATCCCATCCCTTTGCCCATCTCATACAACTCTTCACTTGCTAACTTCACTACAGTTACAACAGCTTCTTTGCTGTTGCTTGAATACTGCCTAGGTATATTTCAGACCCAGAGTCTTTGCATTTGCTGTTCCTTTTGCTGAGAGTGCTTTTTTCACAGTCATCACAAGGATCTACTATACAGTTTCCTTTAGGTCTTGGATCAAACAAATATCACCTTCCCATATAAAGCCTTCTTCCTCACCCATACTATCCTTTTTCTCTGTTTTTTTTTTTTTTTTTTTTTTTTGGTATGTTTGTTGGTTTTGGTTTTGTTTTTACCATTTGACATTCTATCCTTTTTGTTTATCAAGTGTTTAACCCACAAGAGTGTGAACACCTTCTGGGTGAAGATCATCTATTTTTTTTTTATTCAGCACCAAGAACAATGTCTAGTACATAGTAAATGTTCAATAAATATTTGCTTAACGAACAAACATTACTCAGATTTGGAGACTTTCAGTCTGAACCCTATTGAGAGCTGGGCATAAGAGCTGGAAAGTATTCACAAATTTCCAAATGGTATTTGGCGTTTGTGAACTTGCAGCAGCATCTTTTGTCTAATACCTGGTTCTGATTTTTCTTAGTAAGACGGCAGTACAACTCTTAACTAGTTTGCAAGAAAGAGGAAACCCTATCATGCCTGATTAGATGATTGTTCATAAAGAAATAAAGAAAACGCCTTGTGAATTTATATAGTTTCTTCTCTTAATCTTAAGGAAAACAAAAATGAGTGTCTGTTGCATTGGGAGGGGGTCGGGAGGGGTGAAGGGCTGGGAGGGACGCGAAAGCCTGAAGACCTTCAAGAGTCAACTCTCCTGCAATCCAACTTACTTTTATGGGGGGGGGGGGGCATCCTTCGAGGTCTCTGCCAGGGGTGCCTCTTTCTCACCCTCTGAGGTGCCTATTGTGCTGAGTGTTAAGGATGAGGTGAGGCGGGAGAGGGTATGAAGGGATGCTGAGTGCGGCTCCAACTGCCTCCCAACACGAAGTCGCTAGGGGAGGGCTCGGCGCGAGTGTCTATGGGCCAGCGGGCGCCGGGGCCGCGCGTCTCGGACCGCAGCTCGGCCCTGGGGCGCGGGCGGGACGCGGGCTGCGCGGAGTTAGGCCCGGACCGAGCCCCGTGGCCTCCCGGCTGCCGGGCACGCGGCCCCGCGCACCGCACTCACCCCGGCCCCCCCAGTCCTGCGCCCTTCTCGGTTACCTCGAACTCTCTTCAGCGAAATAGGATCCTTCTCCTGTTCTGCTGACATTACAGACCGCCAAGCATGACTCCCCCCCAGGCCGCGGGAATTCGGTCTCTTTGATGCGGCGAAGGCGGCTCCTCCTCCTCGCGGGGCCGCTGCGGCTGTGAGGCGAGCCTCGGCGCCCAGGCGCAGCCGAGGGCGGCGGGGACGCGGGCCGACTTTGCAAAGTTTGGGAGGAGGACGAGGCCTCGGGGCGGCGGGGCAGCGTGCGGGGACTCCCCCGGCTCAGTGGCAGCGGCCGGGAGCGCGGCCTGGGGGCGGCCCCCAGCCCAGGGCCGGCATGTGCGAGGACGAAGCCGCCGCCACCGCCGATGCCACCTCCCACTCCTTCTTCTTCGCCGCCGCTGACAGGGGAGGCAGGAGGCGGGCGGCGCGGCCCTGGCGGCGCACTCACAGCGCCCTCTGAGGAGGAGGTCTGCGCTCTCGCCGCTCCCGAGTCGCAGACACAAAAGCCCCCAGCCTGGAGCCGCCTGCAAAACCCGCTCCGGGGCGGGCGAGGGACGTGGCGCGGCCCCGCGGCTTCCCCGCCCTGCGCTCCCAGCCCCGCGCGGGGACGGGCTTCGGGGGGGGCGGGGGCCGCTGCCTCGTCCCGCGGCGCCTCCCGCCGCCGCCGCCGCCTCGCGCTCCGCCTCGGCCCAGCCCCCACGGCCCGCGCGCGCCTCTCACTCCGCGCCGGGGCTCGCGGGCCCGCGGCCCTGGCAGCCCGGGCGGGCAGCGCGCGCCGAGGGGCCGCCCCGCCCCGCGCCCCGCTCTCCCTCGCCGGCCGCCGGGCCCAAGGACGCCCGGCGCAGTGGCCAGCGCGCCCGACCGAGCTTCGGGGAGGAAGTGGCATCTCCCAACTTCTTCGGAAGCCACAGCAGGCATCTTGGCCTCGCAGCCAGGGATATGAAAGAGGAACGTACGAAGCGAGAAAACTTTGTAAGCGGGAGCTGTAGAGTTCTCGGCGGGCATGTGGAACCCCAGATTCCCCGACTCGGTGTCCGTGGTCTGGACACCTGTTTCTGCAGTGTCCCAACCTGATGTTTTAACGGCTTACCTGCTCCAGAAAGAGCGACGTGGGGTAGAAGCCATGCGCCGGCTGGACCTCACGTAGACGTTAAATATTAGGAGGACTCTCGGTGACATTGTAGGTTAGATTTGACCACAGGTCCACATTAGTCGTTTGGGCTCTGTGACCTGAGACGATTCAGGGAACATCTCTGAATCTCAGTTTTCTGATCTGTAAAAGGCAGTGAGGCTTCATCTCCAAGGTCCCTTTTAGCTGTGACATTCTTGATATACTTTCATGAAACAGGTCCCTGTTTCCTTTGTTTTCTAGTTATCCTACTAAAGAGAATTTGTAGGTGCAGATTCTAATCTCCAATCAGGTAAAACACGGCTTATTTTGATGTCAAAGTAACTGAAAAGGACTCATTAAGCATGTGAGAACCTAAAACTAACAGGACAAGACTCAGAACTTATTCAGTTACCCAGACCATAATGTCAAAGAGAATGGATGTAAACATAGAGCCAGTGTATAGTCCTATAGACTTACCAGCTAGACAACAGACCCGCAGCACAGCATAGGAACCTGCTTTTTAAAGGCAAACACGACTCTGATATCTAATGGAGCCGGTGGGGTTGGAATTCCTAATTAGAAGATTCACTAGGATAGGATGGGGAAAATGTTGATACAGGAGACACAACAGAGGAGAAGGGGTTTCCCCAACTAGAATATAAGCTCTACGAAGGCAGAAATTTTGTCCCGTCTGCTGCTGTGTTGTCTGGTACCTAACCGGCACATAGTAGGTGTTCAAAACATACTTGTTGAATGACTATATGAATAAATAGACTAGAACTGGCCCTGTTACAAATGGGATTCTCATGGTGTGATAAAGTCAAAGCAAATGGCAAATATGATAAAGCAAATTGGATCTAACATCCTACTTCAAAGGATTGTTGAGGGCAGATGTAAAAGCTCTTTGGAAAAGTCAATATAAAAACATACATTTATATCAGTCAATATGAAAACATAAATAAACCTTAGTGCAAAGAGAACAGTTGAGAAAAAAATCATTGCTAAGAGATTTTAAGTTCTTTATTATAACTTCCTAAGGCTAGAGACTAAAAAGTAAGTCAAAAGAAACTGGCCTCTTTTCAATGGTTGATCAAGAATTAAAAGACCATCCTACTTGGACATCATTTTTTAAGATCAATTTAATTTAAAAATCCTGGCTTCTGGCTTGCACATATCAAAATTATCTGGAAAACATTCCTAAACTTAAGATTCCCAAACTCCCCTCCAGATTTACTGAATCAGGATCTCTGGGAATGAGGTCTGGAAATGTCTTTAAATGCTCTCTAAGGTGATTCAAAAGCAATAAACAGATTCGGTGACCTGTTTTTATGAATGGTATGAAATGAAGCATTGTTACTCAAAGATGTAGAAAAGTTATTGAGACAATAATTCTTCTTCTTAAAGAGTTCACAGTGCAAAGGATAAAGTAGAGGTTTAAACTAACATTGACGATGCACACGGCCAAGCACTGCACTCGACTACCATGTCAGCACAGGAGAGAAACCCTCTACCCAGTTATAGAGGCAGAGGGCTGGTGACCTTTAAAAAATGTATATGGACTGGGGTTGTGACTCAGTGGTAGAGTGCTTGCCTCACACGTGTGAGGCCCTGGGTTCAATCCTCAGCACTACATAAAAATAAACAAAATAAAGGTATTGTGTCCACCCACAACTAATAAATAAATATATGTGTGTGTGTGTGTGTGCATATATATATATATATATATATATATATATATATATATATATATATATAAAGAATGTTTATGAATAATTACTAGGAGCTGGGGCAAGGATAGATAATGGGGAATTATTGTTAAATAGGTAAGAAGTTTCAGTTTGGAATGATAAATATTTTCTGGAGATGGATAGTGGTGATGGTTGCACAATAGTGTAATTAATACCACTGAACTGTACTTTTCAAATTGTATGTTCATGTATTTTAACCACAAAAAAGAGGAGGGGGAGAACTTAAAATTAGCTAAACAGATTGGAAGAGCAAATGGAGTCTTATGATTAGTGGGAACCAAATTTCCAAAGGAAAAGAGGGGGTGAAAAAGTATGAATCTTTTAGAGACCTTAAGTTGTTAACAGTGGCTAGAACATAAGGTACCTTTTGAGAAGTGGCAGGAGCTGATTTCCAGAAAGTATACAGGGACCAGATCTCTGAAAGTCATTGCAAGTCATACTAAGAATTTTTTTTTTCACGAAAGCAATAGGGAAACACTGAAAAGTTTAACTAGGTGAGTGACATATTTAGTTCTGTAATTGAGATCATTCTCCCTACAAGGTAAAGGACAGATTGGATCAGCACAAAACATTTCTGTCTACCAGGCATGGTGGTGCACACCACTAGTCCCAGCTATTCAGGACACTAAGGCAGGAGAATCACTTTTTTTTTTTTTTTTTTCAGGAGAATCACTTTAACCCATAAGTTCAAGACCAACCTGGGCAACATAGCAAAATCCCTGTCTCCAAAAACGTGTATATGTGTGCTGCTACAGCATATAACAAAATACCACAAGCTGGTTTATTTATTAAGAAAATTAATTTGGTTTTCTCACAGTTCTGAGAAATAAATTTTCCTGGGTAGGAAGCTCAGCATCTGGTGCCAGCATCTGGCGAGGGCTGCTCGGCTGCTCTCCACTTTGAAGATAGCGTCTTGAATGCTGCATCCAGAGTGCAACAGTGCATTCTCACATGGCAAAAGGTGAAAAGGCAAAAAATGTCTGAACTCCCTCCATCAAGCCCTTTTATAACGACACCTTATCCTGTTAGTGAGGGAGGAGACCTTATGGTTTAATGACCTCTTAAAGGTCCCACTTCCTAATCCGATCACATTAATAGCACCTAAGTTGTGAAGAAGGTACATTCAAACCATAGCAATTAGGAAATAATATATAAAATGAGGCAAGAGATCAGCGAGGGTCTTATACACTAAAGTAGAGTAGTGGAGAGGGATTACAGAGAATGGTGGCAAAAACTGACATCATGGTCAGTTTGGATGTGGAGTATGAGGGACAAATCAAGAATTTGCTCCCAGACTTAATTCAGCTGACAGAGAATACAGGAAGAGAAGATTTGTTAGCAATGGGTGGTGAGGTCAAGATGAGGTCAGTTTTGAACACCTTGAGTCTGAAGTGGGGAAGTCTTGCAGACAGATATACTAATGAATAATTCCCAAAGCCATACATATACCAACACATGAAATTACATTAACAGTTATGAGTTAACTTATATCAGTTTCACTTAAACAGTTATAATAACCTTATGCTGCATAACAAACAACCCCCAAACTTGATGGCTTAAAGAAAAATTTATTTGCTCATGATCCTATGGATAAGCAATTTGTGCTGAGCTAGAGTGGTTTTTCTCAACACCACATAGTGATGGCTGGGTGGACTCAAGAATTGGTGGTCAGCTAGTGGCCTTACTTTCATGTCTGGTGGTTGGCTGGTCGTCAGCAGGAACAATAAAGGAAACCGAACTGTTAGGATCCAGCCAGCTAGTCTGGGCTCTTTCATATGGTAGTGGTTATGGGATTTCCAAATGCACCAAGAGGGCAAATCCTAACTTGTGAGTACTTTTCAAGGCTTTGCTTATGTCTCATTGGCTAAAGCAATTAATTTGGCCAAACCTAAAGTCACTGAGGGACTGGATTACCCAAGGATTTGGATACAAGAGAAGCAGAACAAATTGGGATCATTACTGCATCAATCTATCACATATGTCCTTATTCTTGTGGCTCCTGAGGATAAGGGGGGTGGAAGAGGGAGACAGGAACACATGCTGCTCTTAAACAAATACTTTTACTCCCTCACAACATCTGTCATGTTCTTATACTCTTGTTCAATTTTGGAAATGTCAGTTTCCCATGAAGACCTATCAATATGCCTCACCACTGGTATTGATACCTAATATCCTGGATATAACATGACGTGGCCAGATACCAATCCTTAAGTATCAAAATAAAGCTGAAGTCTCACTGTGTTGAAGTGTGGCTCCAATCCATGCAGAAGTGAGGCAAATTAAGCTCTCTGCCCAGCCTAAATACTCTCCTTATGTCCCCAATATGACAGAATTCCTACTAAAAATATCCTTTCACCTTGCTGTCGTCATATCCATGGGACTTGGTTATGAGTTCCAGACTTGATCTTTATATCTCTTACTAAAAAGATGCAGCTAAGTGTTCTTGTGGGCCCACTCAACGGTTTAGAAACCATACTTGAACACGCGTAAAGCTCAATAGAATATAAAAATGAGGTTAGAGCAAGGATAGGCAAACTTTTGTGAAGGGCCAGATAATGAAGCTCACAGGCTTTTCGGGTGATATGTCCTCTACCACAGCTACTCAGCAATATAAAAGCAACCATAGATAATCTGTAAACAAGTAGGTATAGTTGTGTTCCAATAATTTATTTATCAATGAGATTGTCTCCTATTTGGCCATTCTCCTGTGTGCG